AATACGTTTCAATCCTTACCTCAGTGGACTTCTCAACAGTATTCCCATCTGTGGACCATGCCTTCCTTTTGGCAGCACTGTCTCTTATGTCCTTTTCCACCATGCTCTCCTGATTTTCTTCGTATCTCTCTGGCTGTTTTTGTTTTGTTTTTCTGTCTCTTTTGTCCACCCCTTCTCCTCTATCCAAGCTTTAAATGTTACTCTTCCTCAGGAGCTGGTCCTAGGCCTGGGCCCATCTATTTGGATTTGTCAATGGCATACCAAAATAATCATGTTTAAGATTGAATTTTTGATACCTATTTGCCCACCATTCCCAAATCACTGTCTTCTCTTTTCAATGCCCACTTCCATAGTCCAAGATTCCATCATCTTTGACCAACATTGCTGCAGTAGCCCCCAATGAGTTTTAATGCTTTTATTTATATTATTGCTTTTATTTGCTGTTGTTTACTTCCACAACCAGAATGGTGTTTTAAAAATGTACATCACATTATTATCAACCCTGCTTAAAAGAACTCTGTAACTCCTCCATTTTCCCCTCCACCAAATCTTTCAATCTACCAGTTTCTTCACCCAGCTTCTCTCTTTCTTGAATTATTCAGAAATGACCTACCATCACTCTCAGACTAAAACTCAAGCTTCTCTCAGACTTACACTATATGGCCCTTGTCTTCATTTCTGTCCACATCCCGCACAAGTCTCCCGTCTGTTCTTTGTACCTTTGCCACACTGGCCTTTTTCACTTCTTGTGTTTGTGTTGTCTTTGCGTGTGTTATTTCCTCCATGCGCAAGGCTTTTCTCCCACTCTTTGCTGTTCTGAAACCTCTCATCCTTATAGTCTTGACTTAACTGCCATTTCTCCATCAAGGCCTTCCCCAAGGAATTAATTCCCTATCATTGTCCCTCCTAGCATCATCCATAGCATGTTCTACAACTTGTAATTACATATAGATACCCATTTGGTGTCTGTCTGTATCCTTTACTAGAACATAAATTCCATGAGGGTTTTGTTTGGTTTTGTTCCCCAACAAAGTAACAACCTATATCAAGGGCCTGTGATAATATCTGGCACATTGTGGATGCCTAATAAATATTTATAAAACAGATGTATGAAAGAAGAAAAGAAAAAAGAAAGGAAGAAAGGAGGAAGGAAGAAAAAAGGGCAGAGCAGGGAAACAGACAGAGAGAGACAGCAACATAGAGGGAGAGAGAAAAGGAAGGAAGAAAGGAAGGAAGAAAGTAGGAAAGGGTTTTCCATGATGCTGTGTCGTATAAACTCTGTGGAAATGAACAGGGACAGGTGTTTTAAACAAACTAATAATTCGTGAAAATCTAACTTTACATAAAGGGTAAGTTGAAAGGTGATTTTTTCACTTTACAAAAAGATCTATCATAAGATTTTTTAAACAGGCTTCCCAGGTACATGTAAAGTAAGATTTTATTGATTAAAACCATGTGTCTGTACAGAATTTTTCAGGACAATATCTTCTATTGAAAGCAAGATCGACCTATAAGCAATTTCCTTAAGGCAGCTAGCTCAGAATGGCCAACTCTCAAATTTCAAAAGTAATAGATAATGGGGGGCTTGGAATGCAGTGGATATTTGAAACCCTTAGAATGCAAAGCAGTAATTTCAGCCATTCAGAGTCCTTATGACTTTTCTCACAAAAATAGCTAATAATAGGGAGATGTATCAATGTATTTGAACTGCTCAACTGTTCTCTCTGTGTCTCAGTGAAAGTAAGAATGGCTGTGAAATGACCCCCAAAGAAGCCACTATGCAAAAGAGAACAAAGGCTTGGAAAATTCAACAAACTGACTCTTTCCTCCCAACTCTCCCCAGTCTACACCCCACCCGCAACACTACCACTACCACTACTGATAATTAAGCTGTTTGATTATGAAACTGGAAAAATAATTGAGTGTTTTAATAAATGAAATGTAGGTAACTTCTCTGTGTCTTGATTTCCTCATTTGAACAATGTGGAAGCCTTTCGGAAGATTATTGTTTTATCATCCTGTTCTTGAACCTACCTAAACATTATAAAATAAGGTAACTTGTGACGACTCTCTCCTTCCGATGAAATAAATTTCACAGCTTTTTCTCTACTTGTTGGAAACTTTAATAAATGATCATGAACTTTAAATCAAAACATTTATAATATTTGTGGCATTGGTTAAGTTGACCATTATTGACAATTCTTGCTAACAAGAAAACAGTTTACAGAATTTACTTAAAACAAACATTTTCTTTGTCAAACATATTCTACTGCGATGAAAGCATAGTTAGCTATTCTTGAACTACATTATAGCTAAAATATTTTAGCTGCCAGGAAGAAGAATAACTTATTGGCTATGGTAATAAAGATCAAGGTAGGCTAGAAGATGAGTTAGTTTTACCCTTCAAAAACAAGACTACTTTCAGGAAATTCAAAACCTCTAAATTTAGAAGAAAATATATGGAACATGGGGAAAAAAGAAGCCTAGTATCTGTAGACCTTTTGGCAACATTTTTGCCCTCATCAGCCTCCTGAACGATTATTTCTACCTTGACTTCCCACAATTTTCAATTTTTTGCCCAAATATTACTATATTCAATGACATTTGTGGGAAAGTTATTTATCTAAGTGATGTACTAAGGTATTAACTTCTCACTGAAAGGTATTTAAAGTAATAATGATGATCCCTAAGACTTTTCTTCATGGGTCTGGAAAGCTACAAAATGTATTCACGGAAATACACGTTACTTAGAAGTCTCCTGCTTTGTAAGTTAAGTAGAGGCCTTGGATATGTCAACAAATCTGAATTATATTTGCAAGTTAATATTTTTATATTTTTCTCTGTATTTTTTCTCTCTTTCCTATTTATTTCTACAAAGGGTAGGTCATTTCTTCAAAGAGGAAAAGGACTGGATTCAGAAAGGGAGGCATAAATGAAGAGACAAAAAAAGGGGTGGGGGGCTGGGGATGATGGAGTTAGAGCTGATAGTTGGTCAGCCAAGGTCTCAAGACTAGACTGGACACACCGAAAGAATTTTAGTAGGAGCAGAAGTAGATGGAGAGATGCGGATGGGGAGGGAGAAAGTTCTTAAGAGTTTGCTAATTGAAATTGTAAATTAAGAAATATTCAGAGGAGTGAAGACTGGGAGAGGCTGGCAGGATGCAGTATGTACTGTGTTAACGACAGGAATATGGATATTGCCAGTGACATTTCCAGGTTAATACTCAGAGTTTCCACCTAACAACTTTTGGTTTGGACTGAAACACAATGTAGAAAGGAAATATAACCGATTTGTATGCAATTCTGAAGAAGACAGAAATATAGCTTATTTTGTGATTATTCTATTATTCTGCTTGCTCATATTACAAGAGTTTCTTTAAAATTAATGTCAGGTCTCTATGTAAGGAAATTCTGATTGTGTGTATGTGTGTAGGAGAGGTCAGCCAAGCATGTATAATTTGAAAAATCTCCCCAGGTTAGTATATGTGCCTGTGTGTGTGTATTTGTTGTTGCTGCTGTTGTTGCTGCTGTTGTTATTTATAGTTGAGTTGACTGACTCGTGGAGACCCCATGTACAACAGAATGAAGCATGGCCAGGTCTTGTACCTTCTTCACTATCACTGATATCTTCAAGTCCATTGTCGTGGCCGCTGTGTATATCGAGTACCCTCTAACCTAAAGAGCTCATCTTCCAGCATTACCTCAAATAATATTCTGTTGTAGTGCGTAGGATTTCCATTGGTTAATTTTCGGAAGTAGATCGCCAGGCTTTTCTTCCTAGTCTGTCTTAGTCTGGAAGCTCTGCTGAAACCTGTCCACCATGGGTGACCCTGCTGATTTTTAACATACTGATAGCATAGCTTCTAGCTTCATAGCAACACACAAGCCACCACAGTAGGACAGACTGACAGGTGGTAGGTAGGTAGGTGGGTGGGTGGGTGGATGGATGGATGGTTGGATAGATATACATGTACATACACACACACACACACACACACACACACGTATATCACACATACACACACGATTAAACTTTGCTACTGTTTAATAAGTAGCAAGGAATAAGTGGAATGTCCAGAGATTTAGAAGAATCTTTACCTTAACGGAAGAATATGCATATTTGAGTGACTTTTTTTCCTGATTATTAGCAGTGCATCTAGTCATCATCTTTTTTCGTGTTTATTGATGCTAAGACCATGGGAGGTTCCTTTCAGAGAAAATATCTATTTGGAAAAATACCTGTCATTTAAGAATGTATCCTAATAATAATTTAATCTCACCTTCTTTATTTTCATTTCAGATGTGCAGTTTTTATGTTCCTAAAAGTGCTAAGGGAACACAGTGTGTTTTAAAGCATGATAATTGTCACAGTTGACGTATGCCAGGCACCAAGGAGTGCTCAGAGCCTGTAACCTCAGACTGACTTAGCAATGAGAGGAGTGAACGTGGTGTATTCAGAAGAGTACAGTGTAGGAGGCCACACAGGCTCTAATCCCAGCCCTGCCCTAAACCTGGTGGATGGTCTTGGTCAAGCCCAGAGACCTTGCTGAGCTTTTGGTTCTTCACTTATAAAATAAGAGCATTGGATTAGGTATTCTACAAGGTCCCTTACAGTACCATCGTTATACAATCCTGTGATTTTAGTCTTAAATTTCAATGCCATATGGAGCTCTGGAGGCCTGTTTAGGAGCTTGGTCAGTTTCTAGTTATATGTTAATGATGACTATTCAGTTTTTTGCTCTCTCTTGAGTTGATGGTTAGAAATAATTAGTATTTTGATCACATGATATTGTGCTTGATGCACAATAAATATCTGAGTGGAAGGAAGGAAAGAGAATTTAACAACCACATTACTTTTCTGTTTTCATGATTTATTTTACTTCCATTTTGTGCAACACGATCTTGTATTGCTTAGAATAAAGAATTAGGTTTTAATGAGTTCATCTCATAAAGGAACATGGTTATTGTTAACAACCATCTTCTCCTTCATGTTTCACTAGATTTGGAAAGAAGAAAGAAGAGAAGGGTGGAAAGGCTGAGCAGAAAGGTACTCTGAAGCCTGGTGGCCTGAGAGAAGAGGAGCTGGAAAAAATGAAAGAAGAACGTGAAAGGTGAGAGGAAATGCTGAGCTCCTTATTTTATTTGTGTCCATGGCCTGTGTGTTTAATGTAGTTATTGTAACAATCAACTGCAGAAATCTTATTTTAAGATGCTTAAAGATCAGCTAATATAAAAGGAAAAGCACCTGATAGAAAAGGAATCTGCCTTTCTGGGGAATTTTGATTATATTTTGAGAAGAAATTAACTTCATGTTTTTATTATATCAGTATTTATAATTCCATACTATGCTATCTCTAATGTCAACTCTACCAGTGCCTATTTTCTTTGTGGTTTAAACGATGAGTTATGTTTTTAAAGGTCATTTTGATACTGATGTTTAGAACTATCAGATTCCGATAGTCTGTTCCTAATTTTTGTCAAACTGTTGTATGCCTCCTTAATTTTATTCTGCTAAATCCATGTGAGTACTGTAATTTGAGGAGTACACGTCCTTCATTTTAAAAAAGCCAGTGTCTTTTTTTAGGCTATCTGCAAGTTAAAAAGTACAAAGTATGTAGCCCATCTGTTAAAGGGCCAGTTTCATTTATGGAAATAATAGCAGTTTGCAAGGGCTGAATTCTCCTGTTTGAGGGGCTTAATGTTCCATTAGAACAAGAGGTCCTTCACATATCTTTGATGTTAACTCTAGCACTTATCCCAAGTGAACGTGTAAATGGCTGATTTTGAAACATGTAATTGAATATTCGGATTTCTCCTGAAAATCCTTCCCCTTCACAACTAAATGGAGCTTGGAGAAAGACAGAGATTATGGCAAAACTAGCATAAAATGTTAAGTATTTGATTCTGACTTCATCATATATGAAATCAGATTTATCCATCTTTTCACTTGCTCATTAGTTGCTTTAGTTCTTATAGTTTTTAAGGAGTCAGTTCTCTTATTTATTTTCATACTCAAGTATATATTCTAAGAAAATCATACCTATTCATTGTGTTTTCTAGCACACAGCAGCCTCAGAGTATCTGCTGTTAGCCTTTGACCCCTATCTTGTTGTCTATTCCTGTTGAGATGGCTGACTTTATCAATAGCGAGGAAAAAAACCTATTTAGTCCTTTCTCATTGTTGAGAGATTGATAAGCTCAGTTCCAGAGTCAGTGGAGCAGTTAAAAGGAAATCAAGTGCTTTACATTGTTGTTGACTTTTCACCCGACAGAGGTGCCCCAAAGACGAGAAAGATGCATTCTCCGTCATAGCCCAAGATTCAGTAATCCCGTAATGTAAAATGTAATTCAGGTTAAGATTTTAATGCATATATTGGCAAAGGCATCTAGGCAGTGAGCCTACATCATAGATCTTCACTGCTCCCCTGATTTCATTTACTGAGGCTCTGCATCCCATGCCTCATCTTCAGGAAATGGAGCTGTTTGCTAGAATGCAGACTTCACATTTTTTGCAGCTCACATCTTTCTTGGGTATGAAGGGGGAAAAAAATCCTCTTAGTAGCTGGGGAACTGTATGCCAGCTAGAAAATTGACAACCCATAAAATAAGGTGGGTTGTGTTTAAGCAAGAGTTCATTTCCTTTCTGGTTTTGCCTTTAGGAAGCAGGTGCCTGAGGGAGTTTTGTTCTTAAAAGCAGGGCTGTAAATTTGCCGCAGCTGACTATATAGGCTTCAGGTCCAATTTTCTCAAAATATGTCTGGTCAAAATATTGAAAGAACTGTAAGCTTCCACTTAGGCCGCTTCCCACATGTGAACACATAAAATACATCTGATGCGGGTTTGCTAGAGACAGCATTGTCTCAATCATGTGCTAGGGGAAGAAGTTGGAGGAGTTGATTTTATGGTTGAGTGCTATAGAATTAATGACCAGGGGCATTTCAACAATTTAGGGACTGAGGTCCATGGAGGTTGGAGGTGAAGGCTGAGCATTTGGCGTTGCTCCCAGCCCTGGAGCCCTGTTCCTTAGCTCGCCGTCATCCATAGGAAACCAGTTCACAACTCTTAAAGAACTCAGCAAGTATATCACTCTTCATGGCATGACCGTGGGGAAAAAAATAGGATAAAATACGAAATCATATCTAAAAACTCACAGAGTTATCCTTTTTTCCAAATACATTTAAAAAATGTTTTCTTAAGATAATCTAAGCCATCCTATTGCTTACCTGTTCCATCTTAACTGTAATAAATATGTAATAGTTGGTCGTTAACATAGTTTTTTTTTCAAAGGAGTTAAAGCACTTAAGTAAAATATATACTGTACAGTACTGGAGCCAGCCCTTACCAGCTCATGAGAGGCAAGTGTGTAACTTTCAAGAATTTTGGGATCCAGTTGTTAAACCATTGATCGTTAGAAATTGGCCATGTTGGGAGTATTTACATCACAGAAATTGCAAATGCGCAAAATTGGATTTTTTTTTTTTTTCCCAAAGAGCCTATTTTACCAGCACACCACTCTGGGCCTATACCAACTGTCTTCCATATTTAACCTGGAAGAAGTTATTTAAAATAAAGGCAAAGAAGAAAAAAAAAGAAAGAAACTCATCCAACTCAAACCGTATGATTTCTTACAGCACTGTTTCTCAAATTGTGGTCCGTGAACCACGTGCATCAGAGTAAATCATTTGAGGAGCTTGTTAAAAACCCACACCAGACTTGCGGAATTAGAATCTTGGGAGTTGGAGACCAGGAATCTATCTTTAGTGGGCTAGCTCAAGGTGATTCTTCTAACTTGTAGAGACAGGATTTGGCTGGAACATTAGATTAAACCATTCTAATTTTATGAAAACTGATGCATAATTTGTTTTTTTTTCCCCAAGAAGACCGAGTAAGCTGGTCTATATATATATTGTCAGTTCTCCTCATGTGCTCTCTCTGAAGCATCTTACCTTGCTGGCACATTCTTATGTGAATAAAAACCCTGCCAGTGCTCACTCACATAAGGGAATATGAAACACTTTCCTCCAGAACCCCATACACATATGCACACAAAACTTATAAAAGCAATACAAATTCATTAACAAAATTTTGGAAACATAAAAAGGTACAAATAAGACTATGAAAACCACGCATAATCCTACCAGGACCCTATAAAACCAAAAAACCAAGCCCATTGCTGTCAAGTCAATTCTGACTCATAGCGACCCTAGAGGACAGAGTAGAACTGCCCCATAGGGTTTCCAGGGAGCAGCTGGTGGATTCAAACCGCTGACCTTTTTGTTAGCAGCCAAGCTCTTAACCATTACATCACCAGGTCCCCCTATAACCCCATAACCACTATTAATGTTTTTCATCTTTTTTCTATGCATATATTTTCTTTGCAATCTTGATATCCATGCTGCATATGTGTCATATTTTTACGCAAATAACGCATGCCCTCTACATTTGTTTGCTGGCCATGGCCTCCCCGCCACCAGGCACTGTCACAAGCGCCATCATGCCAATCCTCTTCCACAAGTTGCTGTTTAAAAAAAAATTTAGCATAGCATGCTTATGAAAATACTTCACAGGGGAAGGGTGCAGCCAGCAAACAAACACAGAAGATGTGCGTTATTTGCGTAAAAACACAGTAATACCTTGCTTTTTTCACAGCATTATATTGTGAGCATTTCCCTATATCATTAAGGGTTTTGAAATGACATTTTTGATGACTGTTTAATATTCTCTGAGCTCAGTATACCTTAACTTATTTATCTTCTGTTATTGAACACTTAGTTTGTCTCCAGTTTTTCACTTTACAAATAATACTTTGATGAGCACCTAGATACAAAGATCTTGATAGAGTACCTCCTCTTAAATCATAGAATTCCTTCTTGAAGGTTCAGTTTCCTTATGTTTTACCCTAGGATTAATTTAACCTCACACTGTAAATTTTAAGATTATATTAGCCCACTCCACTCTATGCATTACTTTCCTTATGATTTCCATGGCTACTTAATATCTAGTTTCTGGTATGGAACTATTTTGGTGCTATATATGACTAGCATATTCTTAGTTACAGTTATGAAAGGTCAAAAAAGCCACATTCGGTTGATTGGGTTACTAAATTAGATTGGGGGACTGTTCTAGCATCTACAGCAATGGTTCTCAGTGGGGCAATTTTGCCCCCCAGGGGACATTTGAGTATGTCTGAAGACATTGGATGTGGTTAAACATCTTAAAATGCACAGGATAGCCCTTGCCCACTGCACCAGTGAATTATCTGAATCAATATGTCAGTAATGCAGAGGTTGAGAAACCCTGTTCCAGTCTCTAGACTTCACAAAGCGTAAGGATATTCTCCCGGACATCAGAATTGCATTGTCTCATAATATCCTGTGGACTGTGGATAAGGTACAGAAATATATACCAAATGATATAACCATAGAAAGATTTTTAGCTCTTTGAAAAACTGTACCCAACAATTGTGAATGTTTAGGCCATCCATATAAGCTTATAAAAATACAGTTTTTCTCAAAAAATTTATTTTTATTAAGCCTGTCCTACTGAACGTTGTCGTCATTGACGGTGACCTGTTGATCAGATTGTGAATGCCAAGAAGCTGCAGGGGTTGATAGTATGTCTGATGACAGAATCATCTGGAACCATGGACTGAATCAAACATAAAGAAACTTAATAGGAATAAATGTCATAATAGGAATAAATGACTTTAGATCCAAAAATGAGCTGTATAAACACAGGATGTGGAAGGTTTGACTTAATACCAAATATATGAAAATTTGCCTGATGGTTTTAGTTGAGGGTAAGTTTAGCATGAGTCAACATGAGGATATGCCTGCCAAAAAATTAATCCATTCCTAGGCTACATTATTGTAAATTCATGTACAAAACAAGGGAGGAAACCGTAATTCCTATTTTAAACTTCTCAGATCACACCTGGAATATCTTCTGCCTCTCTCACACACAATGAATGGAGGCACTAAATCCATGTCTTATGAAAAGTGTTGGAGGACCTGAGATGCATATAGCTTGGAGAATCAAGACTGAGCTGATTTCATATGCTAGAAAAACTGTTACATAGAAGAGGGATTATACTTACAGTTTGGTATCCGTT